GTTGGACACGCGAAAAGGGGACACGCGACCAGAGACTGTGCCAACCTGCCCGGCCCTACCTACTTATAATTAAACACAGGCATACCAGAAAGTAAGTTACCTATCCTATTCAGGGCCCCTATATTTAAAAAAATGACAAAACAGGCACACCAACACACTCATTCCACGATTCTCACACATACCACTCGGGCGCAGACCTAAACTAGAGAGAACGTCCCGGGACGCCTCCGACACCCGAGTTTAACATTCAACATTCACACTTTAATTTACGTACCAATTTCCTGAAATCGACTGACAATGACTAGCGACCATTGCGTAAAACGTGATTAAAACACGTTTATATTTATATGTGAGATATTAGTAACTAAGGAAAGATACATATAATTTATATAGAAACTCTGCAAGTTGACTTGGAACCATTATTATAACTGATAATATAATTAATAATATAATTACAGTGTATTTAATAAGTATTATTATAATACATTCATACTTCAACTTAGTGCGTCAATATTTTAAATATTTATAATGAATAAAATAATAGAAACGACGCAATTCCACATCCTAACCACACACACACATGCGGAAAATACGTCGTGCACGATACGCTAACACATTGTCAGTCGCTGAGAAATTTTTTTATAAAATTACAAACTATGGTCATCGTGCCCAATGTCTTTCACCCAGCCAAGTAACACCTGAGCACGTGAATGAGATCCTGACAATGAACACGGAAAGGATTAAACCTGAAAATCCTGAACTAAAAAAATGATTAGTTTATAAAATTTGTATTTAACGGTCTATTATATTATTTTATATTGGAAACTCTAATGACTATATTCTTTCAGAAATTATTGAAATTGCAGGAGAATAAAGACAATGAATAAAACTTGAATTTATTAAAAAAGATATGAAATCTAACAAATGATAAATAATCAAAATCAAACAACTGACTCTAAATTAAATATCAATGAGCTCAGGCGAGTTTTTCATCAAAGCACATTTTTGAAAAAGCAGTGTTTAAACTTGTTGCTTTGATTCAAAAATTGCCTGTCGCGAAGTATCTTCTTGCACATAAAACTTTATACATTTTTCTACGGAAAAAATTCTAATCTATCGAATTCTGCTGAAGTTCATAATTATAAAACTCAATTAATTCAATTATTCAATACTATTATAATACTAAAAAAGAAGGTGAAGTTGGAAAATTTTAATTATTATAACAGTTGTTAATTATTAATTATTATAACAAAATATATCAATATCAATAAGTAATAACTGCATCTTCCATAGCAACGAAGTCGGAGGGTATCCATCCTCTCTACTATGAAATGCTCAAACGAAATAATACCAATAATAATTATTTATAGATATTTATATATATATATTATCTTTGCAAACATTTATATAGAATATATTTTGATATTGAATATATTTTGATTTTACAAGTAATTATTATAACTTTATATATTCAAACTAATTGTTAAAATCGCGATGTGCAAGAAGCCCTATCCTGATCTAATATAGAAAAATCTGAAAAAAGTGTTACTACTCACGGGTATAAAAAATACCCGCGGTCACTATGCTCATCAAAAATTCTACGTATACAACCAGTCGCTCGTGCCGACTCGGACCTTTCGTCCTACGACATGGTTAAGTGACCGGAGGAACATAAATTCATGCGACTCACGGGACAGATGTGAAAAACATTATCGCCGATGCTGCACTGGAACAGGGAAAGTTATCGTGAAGACCCTCATCAAGTAGATACCATTAAAAATCGCATGGTGGAACAGCGTGAAAAATTTCTTAAAAAACATAAAACATTTTCTTTCTAAAGACACAGTGTTATTTGTGAAAAATTTTAATATTGATAAAAATTGGAATAATTTGAAGTGTTTTTATTTTATAATTATAATTTTACATTCAACTTCAACTAGAAAGAAAGCTATAGAGAATAAAATTTGAATACAACATGCTAGAGTACTTACATTTTTAGCTTTTGAAGCATCATAAGATTCTTGCAGGATTAGGGGAGACTGTAGAAGATCTGTAACAAAACATTAAACATTAGAATTTATATTTAAAAGCGAAGCAAAATCTTAAGTTGGAAATAATTAAAGATTCTTACATTCTTGACTTTAGAGCCACTGTTGGATTTTTCCCCAAAAATGCAAAAGTTGATGCTGTGAAGCTGCGTCTGTAACAAACATCAAACATTATACTTTGTTGTCAAATTTGAAAAATTGGATAAATTGAGATATAATATATAGAACTACTTACAATCTTGATCTCCAGGAGAAGCCTTATCCTCTTGAACACAATAGCGAATTGACTCTAACAACGAAAGCGAATATTGAACAAAAGAAAATACAAAAAAAAGAAAAATAAAAGACTATCAACGCGCGCGATTAAGTAACAATCGGCGGACTCACTGACTCTAATTTCACGAATTATAATTTAAATTAATAAGAGCCATTTTGCTCAGAAAAATATTAAAATATTATGCAACAAACAATGACTCTACCACATTGCGCGCGGTCACAAAAATTTTCTGAAAAATTAAAATAAAGCTGATTAGTAGAAGGAGGAGGACGAAGGGATAGGATGTTCATTTAGAAAATACTGTTATTTGTTGAGAAAATAATTATGAAGAATATGTATTAAAGATATTAGTTGTAAATTATAAAATATTTCTCAACACTGAATATTGTAAACGAAAGACAATTATTGTATTATGAATATTCGTCATTACAGTAGGAAGTATACATTAATAATATATCATGTCGCGTTTTATAAATATTCCAAAATATTTACATGATCAAAATTTGCGTCTGAAATCTTGCTTTGAATCGTTTCAATTGCTTTTAATTGTTTTTCAATTGCTTTTTTTGAACGTTACCGTATTGATTTAAATTTTGTCTGAGAACTGGATGATACTTCTTTCTGGATGATTTTTCTGGAACCTTCTTTATAGATGAGGTGTGTTTCTTTCCGCCATGTTTTCCGTTCAAAAATCGATCATGAGAAATATCGATTACGTTCAAGAATCGTAGGAAGTATATTGCATATTTCACGGGGCGCTGTAATCGCACGTTTCACATAATAAGTTGACATAAAAAATAAAAAATTCTGATCTAAATCAAATTTAAAACATTAAATACAAATATCCTTGCTAAATTATTGTTGAATCTATTATTGGAATTATTAATAATTACACAGTATATATCAACAAATGAATAGAAAATGTTATAATAGAAATAACAAAATATTTTATTTATATATATATTTAGGTGACAATATTTGTATTGATTAGAATTGATATTAAATTTTGGTATAAAATTATAAATAACTTTTAGCATAGTATGTTCCATTTATATGCTATTATTTTTTTAATTGCTGAAAATTAAGTGTAATAATTATTTGGTTAAATCTTACCTTGAGTTGAAACTAAAAATGCACGTTTTATCTTAAAAATTCATAACACAAACACAAATTTAACAACTATTGATTTAAATTTTTACCTCAGCATGTCTCATTAACACTTCTTTCTGTATAATTTTCTGAATAACACTTCCTTCTTTATGGATGAAGTGTGCTTTCTTCCGCCATATTTCCCGTTTAAAAATCGATCATGAGAAATATTGATTACGTTCAAGAATCGTAGGAAGCGTATTGCGTATTTCACCGTGTGATGGCGCTGTAATCTTTAACGAATTTAAACCCAATACGCGCACGTTTCGGACGAAATATTAACGTGGCATAAAAAATAAAAAACTGTAATCTAAATCAAATACACAAAATTCATGAAAAATTCTTTAAAAAGAACGAATATTAACGAATATTAAAGAACGAATTTATATAAAATATTCATATGCTATAGATGATAAATTGCCAATACTTTAAACTTTTATAATTTCGTAAAAAAAAATTGTAGAACAATTAATTAATTAACATGACTTTATTTTAAAGCGTGAAGTCTCTACTTTAATAATCTGCGCGAGTCTCTACCGAGATTATTTCTTTCAAAAATATTCAAAAATCTTTCTCACAGAAAAATTCATCACTGAAAAATTTTCTCCATGATCAGATCATTCATTATCTTAAAAATTGAAATATTACAATGACCCTTTAAAACTAGCTGTTTTCTTGCCGTTTTATTTGAACTTTAAACATTAGAATTAAGTGACAAAAATTTAAGAGATTCTAACTAACATTTTGTCATTTAACTGTGATAAAGTAAAATCAATAAAATGTAGGAAAAATTGTATAACGGGTTTTAAGGGCTCATTGTAGGACAGACTATAGTCTTTAAGACCATAGTAAATTTAATCGTGAAAAAATTTTTTTCAGTGATTTTGAAGAAGTTTGAATTTTTACAATTTTTTCAACAAAAAAAATATCATTAGTTTCTCACTTATTGCATGATGCAAGATTATCTCTCAAAAAACGAATTTAGGATTGTAAAGATAAGTATGTACACTTTAAAGTGAACATATTTTCTTTCATAAAGTAATGACAGTTTAATTTTTCGTTGAGAATATAATTACTTTCATCCATCAATGAAAAATCTTTTACTAAATGTTAAAATTCAAATTCAAATCTTTCTGCCAAGATATTTCATCTGCAATTATTCTCAGAGATTTTTCTATGAATTAAGAACTGATAAAAATGAAAGAAGGTAACTTACCATCTACTGAGTGTACAAGTATATTAACTAATTGTAAGTCAGCCAACAATGTCATAACAATTGTACTGGTTAAAATTGAATTCTGGCAGATTTCGATGAGTTCAAGCTAAAAATGCAAGTTTCAATTTAAAAATTCGCAACACAAACACAAATCTAGTAATTATTGATTTAAATTTTTACTTGAGAACTTTTGAATAATACCTCTTTCTGGATAATTTTTCTGAATAACACTACTTTCTTTACAGATGAAGTGTGCTTCTTTCCGCCATGTTTCCCGTTAAAAATCGATCATAAAAAATATCGATTACGTTCGAGAATCGTAGGAAGTGTATTACCTATTTCACCGTGTAGTGGCGCTGCAATCTTTAACTTCAGAAAAATAACAATATTTATAAAAATTTAATACGTCCGATCCTTTATATAAAAATGCATTTCAATCAATTTTTTCTAATACTTTTAAACAGATGTAAATAATCAAATATATAATAAATTTTTCGTTCCAATTTCTATCAATCCCTGTTCCGAATCGTTATATTTTTTTTTTTATATTTCATATTCTTATTATGTTTATATTCTTTTACTGATGAAGTATCACTATATCATTCAATCTAATAAATTATTCTTGGAGCAGATGCGACAACACTATCTATGTTTTTTGATTTTGATAGTTTGTTAGTCTCTCCACTACATCAATTTCTCACACAATGAAATTTCTTCGTAGTGCACGAGTCCCATTCTCTCAGTCTGTTGATTTCCCTACTAATTGTAAGTGGACAGATCGATGCAGCGGAGGGCATAGCGCTAGCGATCAAAAAAGTAGGAGCAAGGGCTTGTGGGCCAGTAGTTAAGCATCTCTGCTCTAGAGAATGGAAAAATTTTGGCCAGTCAGTACAATTCGATTTAAGTTCGAAGACCTTTTTCTCGTAATAGTTCTTATCTTCCTTATTATTAAAACAGGGAAGTGATTAGAACCCCAGGTCTCATCATTCACAACAATATTCAGAGTAGAGAATAAGAGTCTCTATCACTATTGGATTTAAAATTTTGTATACATTAATATATGTACAAGAGTTGTCATTGTGTAGTAGAAGATCAGCAGTTTCCAAGGCATTAAAAGATCTTCCACTGGCTATTTGTATATTTACAATTTCAATTAGAATGATGAGCGTTAAAGTCACCTACTACAATGAAGTTGCGTTTAGTGTCAATATTTTGAACAATTAGATCCCACTGATCTTGTGTGAGACTGAAGTCTGGAGCTCTACACAAATAAATGTATCCAATTCTGACTTTACATTATTTAAACAAAGACCACATAGTTTAATTGAGATATTAGGATATTTGATGTTAGTAATTTGCCTGAAAACTATGTTTTTACAGATAAGAATTAGAATTCCAACCACCTTTTGAATGAATTCTGTCCTTTCTGAACTCTATGAATCCTGGGAAGCCATGTTTCAAAGACAAGAATCAGGATATCATAATTGACTGAATTTCCAGGTGCTTAAAGCGAAGATTTCTTGAGTTTCAGAAGAAAACCCATAACAATATAATAGTTGTAGATATGAACTTTAACCTAATTGGAGTCTTCTTCTAGAAGAAAGAAATCCTTACTCACAGAATCTTCTAAATAGGAACTATTGAGGCGTTTGATAATTCTTGTGATACAGCTTTTTATCTTAAGTTCTGTAAAGGAAAGAATCTTTATTAGAGCCGGTATGTCTCTTATGTGGTTTAACGTTGCATCTTGGGATTGTTGCACGTGTTTAGTAGAAACTATAAACAACTTTGAAAATTCACTGGGTTTGAGTAGGATCCGAGATGTAATCCTTGACAGGCAGCAATAGCAAGATTTCTTCTAGGTCTTCTAGTCTCTGCTCTGTTAGCTATTTTGAGTTTCTTGATTTCTTTGCTAGAAACAACTGCTTCATGTCTACTATCATCTTTAACAGCTAAAAGAAGAGTTGTTGGAACAGCTGAAGTCAATAAGCTGTCTCTCTTCATGGTGGCAGGAGCACAGTTTCTGATAGTTTCAGCATGCAGTATGTATCTGAAATAATGATGTAGTAGAAATCTGGAATGAAGGTAACTTAGGAAAAGATTCTGGCTGCTCAGATGACTGGATCATTATTTCGTTCTGACATGAGCTAGAATTGATTAAAAGCAGTGGCTGGAAATCAAAGTTTTGGCAGAATTTAGTCACATGATCCTATTTTCTGCAGTACAAGCAAGCTACTTTTCTTCCGATAGATGTATCCAATAAGATGTATTATCTTAATTTATTTGGGTAGATTTAGATACGTTTAAAATGTCTTTGAATTTGGATTTGACATCTGACAAAGAAAACTCAAGATGTATCCTGGATCATTTATCTTGTGCCAATGAAGATAATCTGGGAGATGAGTCTCATATTGTTTCTAACAAACTCTTTAAAAATGATTTAGTGCAGAATTATAGAGCATACATTGGATAGTATTAATCATTTGAATTTAAAAATGATTGGTTGAATTTTAATTTTCAGGTAGTAAGAGTTGATCTTTACTTTTGTATGGTTCTCTGTATTCTGTCAGCTTTGTGCTTACTATCCTAATATAAACAAACTCTCAGTCTTGAGAAATTCTAGATATAAATCTGATGTTCGACAGGCCAATAAGTTTGCCAATTTGAACAATGTATTCTTGAATCGCAGTACTTCTGATGGAGTTAATATGATTGCTTGTATATGGAACTGTGATTGCTGAACATATGAGGCTTTGGAAGAAACATTCTGAAAGGAGAAATGCATGGTTTAAGGTAAAATATGTCGAGGTTATGTGCTCCTGTAATGTAATTAGGGATTAACTAGGAGCAGATTTTGCTCCCGGGAAGGTACAAAGGGACACAAAGAAACACAAAGGAACAGAAAATATTTACATAAGCTAGCTATTGCTATTTACTCGCTAGCATTTCCGCCCTGAATTATCCCAGTTAGCAATGACAAAATTTAAAAATTTTTATTAATACACTATGAACAATAAATGGGACACAAAATGAAAGCTAAGAGTCTTAAAAGGACGTTGTAATTTAAAAAACTGACAAATTATTCCTCTGAATTGGGATTTTTTAACAATAAGTGACAATTGACTCGGTTTGTAGCGACCTATGGTCCCTCGAGTAAGAGTTTCGAACACCAACTTGTACAAGCCGCAAGTGGCTGTGCGCCTAGCGTCGAAGTCGATCGATATTCGATGTTAAGCAGAGTGCGGGAACACCGTTAGGATGGGGTGTGACCGACCAAATCCAGCCTAGCGAGTAGTTACACAACAACAAGCGTCTGGGGTAAGGAGTCGCTGCCATCAACCCCACTGGATGAGTCTAGGCAGCGACTCTGAGACGAAACGCCGCACAACCTTTCCTCACCTTACCCACATCATCACTTCCTACATTATCCTCGCATTATCATCGACACTTTTCAATCCCTTCAGGTTTGTAGCGACCGTTACATCTCCAAAATTTACAGTAGCGCCATCTACACAATCGTCCTGTCGAAAGGTACGATTCCTGTAAGTCGACATTACAAATTATAAATTGATATTTTATTTATTACTGGAAATGTTATTGCCATGATTACTTGTTGATAGAGATATATATATATAGACTCCTTTTAGAATTAGTTATTCATTCCTTAATTAACATTTGTTGAAAACAGTTATCTATTTTTGCTATAAACTCCATTGTTATATAATTTATTATAATTTATTAAAAGTTATTAAAGTTAGAAAGTTCTTATTTATTTGTAGTATTATAATATTATCATTATAATCACTACAGGTTTATAGTGATTATGATAATTTATACTTATATCACAATACTATAAATAAATAATAACTCCGTAATTAATTTTAGTTGTTTATATAAAAATATTATCACAAAATATACAATTACTAATAATTTAATGAAGATTATATAATGAAAGTTAAATGACGAATAATTTCTATAAATGAAAGTTAAATAACGAAATAACGGATGAAGAATTTCTACTATGGCTACAATATATATAAGTGTCAGTAAACATTTCTATGGTGATAATAAAATTAATAGCTATTTTTAAATATTCTATTGTTTATATTAAATACACATCTCGACGGAACATAGATGTTGATCTAAATTCTTCGAAGTAGAGGTCGCTACAAACCGAGTCAATTGTCACTTATTGTTAAAAAATCCTAATTCAGAGAAATAATTTGTCAGTTTTTAAAATTGCAACGTCCTTTTAAGGCTCTTAGCTTTCGTTTCATGTTCTTACTTACATTTTAGAATATAATAATAAAGATTTTTGAATTTCATTATTGCTGACCAAGATAATTCTTAATCAATGATCTAATCTTTATCTGAGCTATGCGGTATAATTACTGAATCTATTCTTTTTGGCTACAAATAGTTTGAATAATGTAAATATAGTGCATAAATATTTTTATATTATACAGTAATCTGCATTTAGCAAAATACATAATAGTTAAAATATATTTCCTTTTAGTAATTATAGTTTATATTAACATTAGGTATTATTTTATGTTTATATAAGTTTATATAACTATATTAATAACTTTATATATATATACGTAAACAATAAATTTCAATTGTATTATCTATATTAAAATTTAATTTTTAGTTTTAAATCTATCATTTTTATAGTTTCAGTATCTTACGTGTATATATATACATGTCATTCTTACATCTGTGTATTTGAAATCGCTCAATGTCAAACAGCTTTTCACGTGTGAGATAGTTGTCGTCTGCCATGAAGTAAGCATTCTTTCTGAGAAGTGTAAGTAAACAATTTTCAGAAGTTTATAACAATTTTATAAAATAATATTAGTATACGGAGTTTGTTTCACATAATTTATTTAATTTTCATTTCGTTTCACTTGTAAATATAAATATATCGTATATTGATTATAATGTATTGAAGTAAATAAAATCGTATTACGTATAAAAATGTATTATTTGTTTAAAGTAAACGTAAAAATCATATTTTTTCACAATATGTTTATTAATGGTAAATTATTTTAATTTAATATTATAAACTTAAATGGTTTTTAAATTTAGAAACACAAATTATAACGTTTTATTAAATAGTTTTGTTATATAGAAGAATATTTACTCACTTTTTTATTGTTTACTATTTTTATGTTAATAATTTAATATATTGTTAACATAGTTTATTATAACAAATAGGTAATACATGAGTATTATTTATGAATGATATTTATATATATGTATATATATATATATATATATTGTGATGATAATTGTTATTGCCTTATTTGTGTAATTCATAAATTGCTTTTCCACGTGACATTTTACAGAATGTGCAACATATATTTTAGGTAACAGATTTGTACAATGTCAGAAATTGAAGAAACAGTATCAGAAACAACAGAAACATCTCCACAAGATGCTGTGTCGGAGGAAGATAAACAATTCTTGACTGACTATATAAAAGAAACAGAACAGCGACTAAATGCAAAAGAAGAAATTCGAGCAGCTAACTTAAATCCTAACAGACCACCAGAATCATATTTCAGCAAATTAGATTCAACATTGAAAAGAAACACAACGTTTGTTAAGAAACTGAAGAATTTTAGTAGTATACAATTAGATACAGTTCTAAAAGATATGACACACTTAAACTTAACAAAATATGTAAGTGAAGTTGCTACTGCTTTAGTTGATGCTAAATTAAAAATGACAGATGTTGCACCTGCAATTAGGGTATGCAGTTTCTTGCATCAAACGTACGCAGAATTTTCATCTCATTTTTTTGAAAATTGGCAAAGAATTTTATCCCTAAAAGTTGTGGATAAAATTGCAAATCCAAGCAAACTTCGAGTAGATCTTCGATTTTATGCTGAACTGGTTAATGCAGGAATTTTTACCCATAAGCAAGGATTACCTTTACTTGGTTCTGCATTGACAGTTTTAATTAATATGGATAAAGAAGAACATAACAATGCAAGCATCATATTAAGCTTTTGTAAACACTGTGGTGAAGATTATGCAGGTCTTGTATCTAAAAGAGTAAGGGAAATATCTGAAAAGTTAAAAATATTTATACCCAAGAGCAAATTACTTTCTCCTGATAAACAACAAAATGTTAGATTATTGTTACGAGATTACTACAATTCATTGTGTAAGCATTTATTAAAAGAACATAAAGATCTTCAAGCTTTTGAAAAACAAAATCGTAAGATTTTACAGACTAGAGGCGAACTAAGTTCTGAAAGAAAAGAGAAACTTGAGAGTCTTCAAGTATCGTATGATCGTTTACTTAATAATGTGCAAAGCTTTTCTGATACTTTAGATGAACCTATGCCAGAACTTCCTGTAGACAGTGAAATGAAGGCAGAAGCAGAAGAATCATTGAAAATGATTAGTGAAGGAGAAGAAAGTAGTATTCTAGAAGATATGTGGGGAGACGAAGAAACCAGACGATTTTATGAAGTTTTACCAGACTTAACAGTATTTCTTCCTGGTTCATATTTGAAAGAAGTACCTAAACAAGATGTTCCAATAAGTGAAGAAGCTTTGGACGAAGAAATAACATTTGATGAACTTGAAGAAACTGAGAAAGTGGATGAACCTGAAGCAGAAGTAGAAGAACCACAAGTTTCAAACATAAGTAATAAAATACTTTTAGATGCATTTATAACACATTTACCAAATTGCGTAAATCGTGAATTAATTGATAATGCGGCAGTACATTTCTTAATGAATCTTAACACAAAACATAACAAAAAAAAATTAGTAAAAGCACTATTTGGTGTATCTAGAATTCGTTTGGATTTACTGCCATTTTATTCTCGATTAGCAGCTATTCTTTATCCTGTTATGCCTGATGTAGGCAATGATTTATGCTCAATGTTAAAACATGATTTCAAATATCATGTACGCAAAAAGGATCAAATTAATATAGAATCAAAAGTAAAAGTTGTTAGATACATTGGTGAACTTGTTAAATTTAAACTTTATTCAAAGATAGAAGCATTATATTGCTTAAAAGTTTTACTACATGATTTTACACATCACCATATTGAAATGGCTTGTAATTTGTTGGAAACATGTGGAAGATATTTATTTTGTTCACCAGACTCGCATCAAAGAACAAAAGTATATTTAGAACAAATGATGCGTAAAAAGGCAGTCACTGCATTAGATTCACGTTATGTAACAATAATTGAGAATGCTTATTATTATGTAAATCCACCAGAATTAACAGGGGGTGTATCAAAAAAAGACAGGCCACCTATTCACGAATTCATAAGAAAATTGTTATATCAAGATCTTTCAAAAACAAATACGGACAAAGTTCTCAAATGGATGCGCAAATTAGATTGGGAAGATGAAAGTGTATCATCTTATGCTATTAAATGTCTTACTGCAGCATATAATGTTAAATACTTGAACATTCGATGTGTAGGAAGTTTATTAGCTGGACTTGTTGCACATTACGAAACAATAGGGCCTCATGTGGTCGATGGTGTGTTGGAAGATATACGATTATGTATGGAAATTAATTTACCGAAATTTAATCAACGACGTATTGCTATGGTTAAATATCTTGGAGAGTTGTACAACTATCGCATGGTAGAAAGTGGAGATATTTTCCGAACATTGTATCTTTTGATTACATTTGGAGTTAGTATGGATCACTCCATACCAAGTATTTTAGATCCATCTGACCACCTTTTCAGAATTCGATTAGTCTGTACATTATTGGAAACCTGTGGGCAGTATTTTAGTGGTGGTTCTAGTAAGAAAAAACTTGATTACTTCCTAATATTTTTCCAAAATTATTATTGGTTTAAGTACACGGATCCTGTTTGGACTACAGAAAATCCATTCCCAGTAGGCATAGATTACATGTATCGGGACACATTAACAATGTTAAGACCAAAAATGCAATTGTTCCAAAGTTATAAAGAAGCACAATGTGCTGTTGAAGAACTGCGAAATACGCTATATCCCACTCTTGGAAACCCTAATGCAGAGGATGGTATTGAACGTACTGATGCAGAGTCTGATATGGGGGTAATTGCTGAAGGAGATGAAGATGTAACTGTAACATCTGGGAATGGTAGTGGTGACGCAAAAGGTGTAGCTGATTTGCATTTTGAAGAATCTGAAGACTGTTCTGAAGCACAATCAGAAGAAGATTGGACTGCTGATGCAGAAAGAGACTACACTATGGGTACACAAGAAAATACCCAAGGAGATCAAAGTCTTTCAGAAGGAGGTACTGATGGTGTTATTATGGATGTTCCAGAATTAAATGCAGCATTACCATCTGGCCCTAGAAGAGTAAGTTGCCCTGAAGATGACGACTTTTTGTCTGCTCTTGATAAAATGGTTTCGGATAACATACAAGATAGAATGCGAGATTCAGTGAAACCGCAACAAGTAGACATTTCTGTTCCTTTACATGTAAAAAGTACTAAAAAAACATATGAACAATTGCAAGAAAGACCTTCCGATAACAGCACAGTCGATTTCGTGCTTATGTTAAGAAAAGGTAATAAGCAACAATACAAGAATTTAGCAGTTCCTGTATCATCGGAATTAGCAATGAATCTTCGAAATAGAGAACAAGAACAAAAGGAAGAAAAAGAACGAGTTAAAAGGCTGACACTGAATATTACAGAAAGACAAGAAGAAGAAGATTATCAAGAAACCATTAATCAGAGTACCAGACCAGTGACAGTAAATTTGAATAGAGAACGGCGACAAAAATATAATCACCCTAAAGGTGCACCAGATGCCGATCTTATATTTGGCCCTAAAAAGATACGGTAGATGTATTTTAATGTTCTTGAAAATTAATACTTATCATGTTAGAAAAAAACAATTTAAAAGACAAACTATTTGTTCATATTTTTTTGAAAGATTTAGGACAAATTAGTAATATTTTACTTTTAATTTGAAATATGTATCTGTGTTGTTCCTATGAATTCTTAATCGGATGGATTTTTCAGAATATAAAAATATATTTTATATTAAAAATACAAAAATGCATTATATATGTCAATATATATTTCCATATATTTGTTATTGCTTTTTGATATATATTTGAATGAAGTAATTGTTGCTTACACATTATAAATATTCAAAATTATTGATAAAATTACCAATTTGGCTGTTATAAAAATTTTGATTGCAAAATTTACATATTGACATAATATAATAAGTTATATTAATAAATTATACTTTAATATCTTTGTTAATAATTTCAGTAAATATTTATTAACAATAAAAAAGATACAATACATTTAAAACTAATCGTGAAATTGTCTTATATTTCAAAATGGAGAAATTGTCACAAGTACATATTAGGATATACTTTGGATATCTCAAAAAAGTTTTATTATATTAAGTTTTATTGTATAAATAAATGTAAAAAATTAATAATTTTCTAAATGAACAAATACAAATATGCAAACAAATAAGAATTTGAATTTGATATATAATTATTTATTTTTATCTAAAAAATTATTACCATGTACAAAATGAATATAAATAAATGTTAGCTGTTTTTATGTTTGATACTGCTCTCTTATACAGTCTGCCATATCACATATCTACCTTGGTATATGATACTGGTACTTATAAATTAATACTAAATGCATGTCTGCATTTTATTATTTTCATACTTTATAGATCTTCCTCTGCATCTTCAAATTGACCTGCCTCTATATCCATAGCATCATCTCCTTCTGTACCATTTTGATTTGTCTCTGTTTTAAAGGAATGAAATAACAATAAGAAATTTAATCTTTATAGGATACTGATTTTTTAAATAAAAGCTTTTTTATATTAAATCTAAGATGGTACCTGGTAAGATATAAGGAGCATCACCAGCACCAACACCAGTACCAGTACCAGCACCAACATCGTAATATTGATAATCATCTTCCTCTGCATCTTCATAAATATCTTCTTCAGCTATAAAAGTATGCAAATTCTTATATCTGCTTTTTAACTTTTAAAAACCGCTAAAATAATTGCACATTTAACTACCATCAGAAAAACTATCTTGTGGATCAGGATGAAGAGCCTGACATTGGTTCATTGCTTGAAACATTGTTTCCAAATTATTTGTGTTGTCAGGGGCAAATCGCATTTCTGTAATTGGTGTATCCACATCTTCGAATTCATTATCTGATCCACTATCTGAAGCTGGTGACAATGGTACATCTATATGAAACATATTAAAAAAGTGTACATTTAATATTAATATATTTACTAGAAATTGCGTAGAACGTAAAATCAGATACATATTACTAAATTTCATTTAATTTTTACTCTTCACTGAATGAAAAGCAACTTTCTCAAAAATGTTTAAGGAGAACTTAATATACCTGGAAGATCTACTTTTGCATCAACCATGATATATAAACATTGCCTTGAATGTACTTGTTCATCTCTTGATATGGCATGTAAAGATATATGAGGATATTCAAGTGAAAATCCCTGTTGTGTATCATAATTCACCCAAGAAAGTAAACTATCAATGAACATTATATTAAAACATAAAGATAATATTAAATATATGATTGCTCCATTTTAATATTTACCTTTCTGTAATATACAGAATTCCTTTTCCTACTTCTCTATCATTAATATACACAGTAGTATTTGGTTCTTCATGACGTATTCCTTCTTGTGGTGCAAGAAAATTGCTAAGCACTACCATTTTTTATCTGGAATAATTTATTTAAAAATTATTTTAAATATAAGAATAGCAGCATTTTATTAAAGGAACAAACTGTTTCGACAAATGTGTAGATAAAAAATTGAAAGGTTATGTCCGAATTTTAATAATTACAAATTTCGTCATATTATATTATGCACACAAATATATATATATATATATATATATATATATATATATATATATATATATATATATAAATTTCAGAAAATATTTAAAAACATAACTAAATCGTGTATTTTATTTAATGCAAGATACAATAAATGAAAATGTGATTAATACAGTTTTAAACAGCAGTCTTATTATTTTTATGGCACTAGTAATTTTTTATACTCACTTAGTTAATCATATAAACTATTAATGTATAAATTCATTACCTTTTTATCCGTTTTTACGGATTATAAATAAGAAGATGAAATTTTTCACCAAATGAACGAACTTGTAAACTTGATAACGATTTTACAACTTTAATTCTTACACAATACTTTGAGATCACTTTTTATGTTTCCAAATATCTAATTACGAATATCAATCAATATGTAGACTTTTCATTTTATATTTATGAGTATACAATTCCTGTACATACTGTTATATTTCTATTTTGCGTTATTGATGCAGGATAGGATACTTTCTTATCACAAACTATAGATGTTGATGTTGCACTGGCATACTTAAAAAGGCGGGAAATTCTGCTGCATATTTTTGAATTTGTAGTAAATGAAAAAATTGTAAATTATTTATTAGTTCTCCATTGTAGATAAACTTAAAAATTCTTGACTTTTAAAGACATGTTTATCTTTCTATTGTAAATTACTTAATGAATTAGAAGTTGCGAATAAATTCAAACATATATAAAAAATGTATAATCTTTTCAAGTTAAAAAAATAATTACTTTATATATATAATATATATATGAATTAGAATGAAAAAGAAAGGAACTAATTGTATATAAGGATAATATTATATTTTATCGGTACAATGTTTATTTAACAATTTCAAAATTATTATCATAATAATAAAGAAACTGTATAAGAATTTCTTATAAAACTACTTTTATAAATAGATAGACGCATAAAATTATTAATAACAGTAAACAATTTTCTTGAAATCTTCTTTTATTATAATGCAGGTATTAATGTTTTAATTTTAACACAATTATATATTTGTCAATTTTCAAAAATTAGTTGTTCACTGTCATTCTTTTTTATACGTATAAATAATCGTCTTATTTAATAGTTATTACCATATATTTTGTATAAAGTGAAGCAAACATTTTTTCTATTCTTTTTATGAAAATAATTCCTAATATGTACATACATTTTTATATCTACTTTATTATTATATAAAATTAAAATTTCTATGTCATATAACTTTATTTTACTCATTTTATATAAAGTATAAATTAAATTATTTAAAAATTCTGAAATTTGTAATACTGATTTTAGATTTGAAATCCTTATTTTATGTAATGTTTATCACTAAAACAATCTGTAATAACTTAGTGTGCGAAAAAATATAAAATTAAAATAATTTTTTGTACATTTAACTTAATAATATAAGTTGTTCTAGGTAAATGTTTGAAAAATAATGTTTATACAATATAAAATAAAAAATGATTTTAAATTGTAAAATAAGAAGTAAATGGTAACAATTGATTTTATTGGAGAAATCGGTCAAAATATTAGTATTCAAATTGTGCAAAATGATATAAATACAACCATTTGTTACTGACTTTCGTATTTATTTTAATATAATATATGTCGTATTATTATTTTAATAATCCTTTCAAACTTAATCAAATTTTGCTCCTGTTAGTATTACACTATTTCTAATCTATTATTATAAATATGTTTACATATTTTGTTATATTGTAAACATAATTTGAGTACTACATTACATAATGTAAGAATATAATTTTAATTTATGCTTTATGTACGATTTTATAAGTTTATTGGTATATGTAAACTATAACTTAAAGTGGAGAATGAGTGTCATTACAAACGTGTTACATTTTTTTTTAAATGTATAAATAAATGAAGCAAACCACCATATTTCCATATTTCCATAATCTCAGTTTTCAATTATGGAGATATCTATGCAACATAATATGTCGTAAAAAAGTATCGATATTCCATTAATAACAATTACAAAATCAAATTACCAGACAATGTCAATTTATGGAAATATGGATAATAATAATAATCATTACCATAATTGATAATACACAGAAAAACCATCTGAAAATGTTTTATTAGGATTACACATGTGGCAAGCGAGGCTTTTGTTTCCAATTCCTCAAATTTAAAATTCATTTCCATAACATTTTACGTACATACATACATACTGTCAATACAATAAAAAGTGCTTTGTTTAGTATTTTGCACTTCATTTACTACTAGAAATTATTGTTACATGAAGTATCACTTTGACCTCTTTAAGACAATCGATCAGCATCCTTGGGCAAATTTTGTTTCCTAATGAATCTATGCTATTCAAATACAACATATTGAAGAATATCTGGCTTGATTGCTATAGATTATTTGTAAAATTTAAATAATAAATCATTTATATTACAAAAATTGAATTAATTTTTTTAACAATAAATTGATAGTTTTTATAAGAAAATTAACAAAATATTTCAAAAACATCATTTTCTCATCGTTGATATATTAGATCATGTTCAAACCACTAAGTTACCCATTGTAAATGAGTTCTATATTTTTCATGTTATACTATATTATATTAGATATCAATGATTCTGTACAGCTCATGCCAGACTCTTCAATTTTACATATTTTTATACTATTGATAAAGGCAAATAATATGTGCTAGAACAATATGGATACAATGTACAGCTGAATTAAATAGTTATACTACATAATTGAGTATCGCTAAACGTTACTAATGTTACTTGTGCAGCTTTTTTATTTGTGTTCATGGGTAACTGAATTTTATTGTTATCTCCAAGGGGCTAAGTTCCAAAAAACATAGACAAACATGTATCACACCAAATCTTGTGACATTTTTGATATGTTTTATGTTTTTAAATATCATAAAAGTCCTTTGTAGGCATATAATGACAAGTTGATTGACAATAACAGTAATAACATTAGAAGTAGCACTAATGATGATACTATGAGTAATAATAACAGCAATTAGTAGTGCAGCAATAGTAGTGGAGGTAGTTATAATAGCATTAATAATCATAATAATAGCTATAATACTATAGTAAGAGTTGTAGAGATTAGCAATGAGCTAAAGATCGACAGTAATCAGTGAAATAGCATTAATAATGATGATTGCAGCATAATTGCAACTATAATTTATTTCTCGAACATCTAAACACAATTGTCAGAAAGAACAAGTTATATATGTATATATAAATCTGATTTGCACAATTAATCAAATTTGATCGTAACAATTTGTATAAAGAATACTATAAATTTTAATTAAATAATCTGTAAAAATAATTATGAAATTATTTTCATAATACAATATGATAGATTCATACGTAAATTTACAATACGTTTTTGTCTGTGCAGAAATAGAAAAGTATTTTCTACATTTATATCGACATACAAAATTCTTTTTTATGTGCACAAGTATACAAATTATGAAAACACAATATGTAAAATGATATTAGAAAAGAACACATTTTTATATACAATAAGAATATGAATATGGCACGAAAAGAGAAACATACAATGATACATGAAGAAAAAATATCAAATGTTATCATTAACATAAAATAGATGTTAAAGAGATGCAATCTATCTTTATCATTTAAAGATAGTGTTCTTAATTTATTTTTTAAGATTTTTTTTTACTATGCATGTTTTTTTTGGAACCTTTCCCATTGTATTAATCTACACCGTCCATTTGTTTACTTCGCTTATATCATAAATACAAAACTCCCATGACAAATATTCTTAGACATCACTACATGTGAACTTAAGATTGCAATGTGTTTGTAATTTCTCGATGTACAGTTACCAAATCTTGTATATATCCAGCTAATCTGGCATTCAATGTATCCAAATTTTGTTTTTGGACTTTATTTGCGCTTAATGCAAGTTCTAATTGTTCATGAACAACCCTTAACATTTCACGAAGTTCTGCGTTTTCTTTCTGCAAGGCCTAAAAAAAATAAAATTATGAGTTTATTACATGTTCATTTGAAATATTTTACTTTTTTTGTTATTTTAAAAAGTAATTTTGTCATTTAAAAAATTATTATTAGTTATTAATATCTAATATGATTATTTTACAATATATACGTACTATAAAATCTTTATTTTTTGTAGCTATAGTAAGAGCTTTGATTTCTTCATTTTTTGTTCTAAGTTCACTTTCTAATGCTTCAACTCTCAACCTTAATGCTTCACTATTGCCTTCTGCTATTTTTCCAGCTTCTAGATCTGCATACTTGGTTTTGATCCTTGCGTTGTCTTCTTTATATAATTGTAACTGTCTTTTCCATTCATCAACATTAGCTGTGGATTCTTGTAATGCACTTGTTAATCTGGCATTATTTGTTTTCAAAGTAGTTAGTTCAACCTGCAGACAAATGTTTTCTAACAAATTATATCATATGTTACGTAATTTTATATATAATGATAAAAACCATACCTCCCACTTTTTAGCATTCGCCGAACTTTGTGCTAATGCAAGTTTCAGCCTATCGTTCTCATATTTAAGCTGCATTTCAGCCGATTGTCCACCTTGCGTCGAACTAAGTTGCGATGATTTCCCTTGATGTTGTGGACTTTCTGTACTCTGCTGAGAAACACTCTGTGATCTTGAATGGACTGCATTTTTCAATTCATCATCCACTTTATTCTGACAACTACCAGGTAAGGGACTGCTGCTTACCAAAGACACACTGTTTTGAGTAGAGATCATGTTGGCATTTGGATTGGGATTATTCGATGCTGATACATTGGAATTAATCATCGACGAATTTGGCGGATCTATAAGATCTTGTTCCGATGATGGCATACCAGATCTTGATGTAATTGGGCTAACATTTGCACTAGTAGCAGGAGTAACGGATGAGCTGTTTGATTGTAATTTAGCACTAGCTAATTTAGTGGCTTCCTTCACTTCCTGAAACTTCTCTATGAACTGCCAAATGAATAGTATTGTCTTTGAGATTACAGTGTACAAATGACTGTACATTAACTTAAGACATATTTCACAAACCTTTCCTAATTCTACTTCAGATGAAAAGCCAAGACCATATATAGTATTAGCTCTAACATCTGACCATTGTCCAAACTTTTGTGATGTTTTTGTGAAGGTCATGTTTGGAGTAATAGTACTATTTATTACTGCCTAAAAGAAAAAGGTAAAATGTTTATTTTTTAAATAAAATGAATATTTGCATTTTATAACAGTTTATCTTTCAATTACCTTTGATCCTTCAACAGAAATTATTCTATATAGATTCCTTGTTGAATCATAAAAAAATGAAATAGATACTGCTGCTGTAGATGCTGATACCCAAGATCTTTTTGTCTTAGGATCAATATGAAACACGTGTGCTTTACACGTGAAAATTGGTTGTTCGCTGTAATTTATTAAAAGCAAGAGACTTAGGTATTTAAATATATTGATTTAATTAATACATGCAGCATCTATTTATAGTCAGAATATAAATTATAGGTATTTTAATAATAACGAATATCTTAAAGTTTACTTTTTTTTCGTAGAACTTTATTACCGTATATTCCATAGGAACATAACAAAATCAAATACATCAAAAAATTTACATTTTTTTTTTTACATACCTTAAAATTAATGCAATGAAAATTTAATAATGTTACAATTTGGGATTACAATAATGTAGGCTGTATCATATAAATCTGAAGGAAAACAAAAGAAATAAATATAAACAAACAATTATTGGCTGTATTTATAAAAACAATTGCATTTTTGTTTCAATTTTTTAATTTTTCACAGTGCAATATATGTACAATTTATATATATATATATATATATATATATATATATACACACATGTATATGTATTTATTATTTTTTAAAATATGTAATTTTGACAAATAAAGTGAAAAATGATTACAATAAAAGTAAAAAATATTTAACTTCGTTATCATCACTTTAATGAAATATGAAATTATTTATAAAGCTGAAGTTAAAAAGAAAGTGATATAATTGTACAAAAATCTTGATATGTTACACAAAAAACAGAAAAAAACAGCATCTGAATGTTTTGATCGAATGCATCCTCGCGTTAGAAAACTACCGAGTAGACGATAACGTGACAAATATTTGTACGAATTGTGGGAATGAATTTTCACAATTGGAATCCAAAGATATGAAACGATGCCCGAGAAAGTAAACAACTAGAATAAACACATTTCACGCAATGCCGACTTATCCCACTTTCACTATTTTATTTCATGGTTATATATATAGAAAGAGGGTGTGTGTGTATGAAAGAGAGAGAGAGAGAGAGANGAGAGAGAGAGAGAGAGAGAGAGAGAGAGAGAGAGAGAGAGAGAGAGAGAGAGAGAAGAAAAACATTCTGGTCCAGAGTCTCCCTATGTATGCACCCACCTAAATACGTATCAGCGATGATGTCGGAGATACGATAGTAAATAGACGGGAAAGATAGTTAATGCATCATTAGTTAACGTAATGAAAGACGACCTATTTCAATTGACGGTATTTAGTAATAGAGGAATTAAGGATCGTTTATCGTACTTGTACGCGATATGGGAATCATACTTGGCGTGTACATACACACCCTTAAAAGACGGTGCGGAATACCACCACGTTCACTTACCCCATTGTTTCTTTGCCCGATGTCATACAAATGTTGTAAATGATAATTTCACAGACTCATAGGAAAATCAATTTAACGCAGATGCGTGGTAACTACTTGTGAGTGGAAATTTTCGAGATGATTGGAAAACTGATGAGAACGAATTCCACGAAAGACGGAGATACACCAGTTGACAGCCGCCATCGGCCAAAACTATATAGCGAACGGCAACGATCACGCAACAACATGAAACTAGTCGAGTTAGTTGAGTTTCTACCATATACCCGGATTTAATCGATTTTCCAAAGGTTTGCTATTGCTAACCTCGTAGCTTTCTTTCGAGAAAGTCACTAGAACCGCAAGGTGCATTCCCATGTTCCGGCGACGCGGAACGCATTATCGCTTGAAACGTTGGCAGTGCAGGACTGGCGACGAAACGCCAGCGTTTGAATACGCGATCATTCTTCGTTGCATATCGAATCATCTCGTTGGTTTTAAATGTTTCACCAATAGCGAAGCAATGAATAGAGAAGAGCGACGTAGCAAAGCAGCGGTATGACTTTTGTCCTTGTCTCACGTCTCATTTCACCTGAACACAATGAAAGTGCGCAACACGCAGTAGGTGGGGGTATTATGCGAGAAAGAGAGGAAACAGGAGGGAGAGAAATCATCCGCCTTGCGAGCCCGTCATGGCTGATTCATCGTGAGGGGCTCTTATAGGAGTACGATAACAAATGACATTGTGATTGAATCACTGAGCGTACACGGCAAGTACAGTGCATGGAGTTGCCTCTAAATCGAACCGATAATCTCGATGCGGAGATTCTACGAGCGAACTTGATAAACGGCGTTTTCGCGTGCGCGTAACACCCCCGTGGAACGATGAACGGGTTAAGTTTTAGTGAACTGTGTTGCTTGTTTTGCTGTCCACCTTGCCCGTCCAGAATCGCTGCGAAGCTAGCGTTCCTACCACCTGAGCCTACCTACGCGTTCATCGAGGACGAAGGATCCAAGGTTACAATTTCCCTGTCTGAAAGAGCGGAATGGCAATACACGGAAAGGGAGAAAGAGTCGGTGGAAGGTTTCTATGCAAGAACGTCACGAGGGAATCGAATAGCCTGTCTGTTCGTACGGTGTTCGGCCACCGCACGTTTTACCATTTTATACTCCCATGGGAACGCAGTCGATCTCGGACAGATGTCTAGTTTTTATCTGGGACTCGGGTCCAGAATAAATTGCAACATATTCAGTTACGATTACTCGGGCTACGGAGTCTCCGGTGGCAAACCGTCGGAAAAGAACCTTTACGCGGACATAGACGCTGCGTGGCATGCTCTCAGAACACGTTATGGCATCAGCCCGGAAAACATCATTCTATATGGCCAGAGCATCGGGACTGTACCCACGGTCGATCTGGCCGCGCGATACGAGGTTGGCGCAGTTGTTCTGCATTCACCTTTAATGTCGGGAATGCGAGTCGCTTTCCCCAATACTAAGAGAACTTGGTTCTTCGACGCCTTCCCTAGGTACGTTCAATTCCTTTTTAACGTATCCCCCTTTTTACCGTGTTAAATGAAACGCGATCTATAATCCACTTACTGCATGCTGTGATTTGCACAGCTAAGTTTACGCGCATGACACTATCATCCAGCTCAGGTATACATCCATTCATACACGTGGTGTAGATATATATGTATACGTACATATACACAAACATTTGATTCTATATTTACAGTTTAAACCAAGTTTAAAATAAATTGAACGCATTGACCGGCGTAACAAGTTCGCACCGAAGCTTGCAACAATGTCCCATAACCGCGTGCATTTTTTTTGCGTTCGAGTGACAGTTTTTCGGAGTTAAAGTGTGGGAAGCAATAAAAGTTTATCTATGCACCTGCGTCATGGAAACCTATAAATTACATGATCCGTTGACACATGCTTTGCTAATAGATTTTGCACTTCTGCTGTCGCTTATCTGTTCGTATCGTTTTTCTCTTTCTCATGTCATTAAATTAAGTTAAATGACAATAATTACATATTTGTTTCTTCCGTTAAATAAATAAATAAATCACGTTAAATAAATAAAAATTAAGCTTATTATGTCATTAATTTATAAATAAATTTATAAATTTATAAAATCTCTATGGTACTATACATATAAAATGAAGTTTCTGTTTTCTTTATAGTATAGACAAAGTACCCAAAGTGACATCTCCGGTTTTGGTGATTCATGGGACTGAGGATGATGTAATAAATTTTAGTCATGGTTTGGCGATTTACGAGAGATGTCCAAGAGCAGTAGAACCATTATGGGTTGAGGTATACAAAATTATTCATTCACTTATTCTTTCTCGAATAAAGAAGACAAAAAATTGTGCAAATACCATTATATGCTTATACTTTTAGGGTGCTGGTCATAATGATGTGGAACTATATGACCAATATTTGGAGCGACTGAAGCAATTTGTAAGTGTGGAATTGATAAACTGACGCCGACTGAGCCTCTCCCAGAATCAGGGGGGGCAGGGAGGAGGACATACACACGTGAGCAGTCAAGGACACACCACTTCTAATAATTCAAATACTACCAGCTCCATTTCGACAAGCTCGCAGACTGAGAAGCTTGTCTAGCAATCGCCTCTCACAGGGGTGAAGGCACTTGTCCGCCCCTGTGACGAAGAATCATCTTCCGTTTCTACGGACGATGGTTTCTTTTTTCGTGATCAGCAGATAGATGTTAATCAGAAGATTCACTGTAAAAATTCTTTAAAGGAAACATGTTCCAAAGATGATAATTCAAGTTTAGATAGTAATTCGAAAAAAGCTATTCAACAAGACGAGAAGAGTGTGAAAGAAGAGGAACTAGCAACAAATGTTCAAGAGAATAAATACAATAAAACGATATTAGAAGGTACTTCTATTCGCCATAACTTCCGATTGAATCATATTAGTCAAGTTGCGAAAAAGCACATTTCTTTGCCGAAAAATTTAAAAAATCCATTTGGTAAAAGTCAAAAGAATATTGTTCACAGGACACTGAAGAATTCATTTGGTCAAGGCCATAAAAAAGCTGACACACAAATATCTCATACAACTTTGGTTGACATACAGGTCGAAGACTGCCGTCAATTTGCGATCGGAGAAAAATCATTTCCCAATATTCCTAATGATAATAATAAAAGCATTTCAGACTGCAAAAGTATTCAAAGTATTCAAAGTCAGTTCAAAGCAGAGAAGAAATCTCCTATAAATCAATTTAAATATAGTAGTATAGAATCTGTTTTGGATTCAGAGTGTACGAAGAATAATAAGAAACATTGTTGTAAAATCTTAAGTAAAGATGTAATTATAAAAGGTAAGAAGCTCGAGGAGCACGAAGCACAAGCTCATAATGAAAAATCGGTAGAATCTACGAAAAAGTTTTTATGGGGAACTAAAAGTGCAAGTAAGAGTTTCGAAAAGACTTGTAAAGATAAAGGAAAAACCCAGGATCCCATGGAAAAGAAACTGAAAGCTAAAAGAATCCTTTCCAGTCCCTTAAGAAAATTTGGTCGATCATCATTGACAATCGAGCCGGATAAAATTATGATAAACTTACCAAAGTGTTCTCCTTGTGCTTGTAGGTTGGCTGCAAGCTCAAAAATTTTATCCAATGATTCCAGTTTACTTTCCCGATTTACTACGAATCGCGAGAGTCCTCATCATGCTGTACGTTTGAAAAGTCCATCGCATGTAGATGTACAAACAGATATCACTTTGAAAACTTCAGAAAGGACGTCGATGCAGGCTAATTTGTTACCAAACGTACAACAAAAATCACGGTATACACCTCGAAGCAGAAGCGTTGGTGAGCTGTGCAATATTGTGAATAAGTGAATCAGCCACGAGTTATTCGTCTGTTGGAGCGAAACCATTGTAACTGAACAAAGCTGGACTTCCGACATCATCAGTTGAATGCTCAGGAAATGTTATTCAGAAGTTAAGGAGAAAATTATATAAGTCGAATATTCTGATAAAATTTAATACGCAACTTTAGAGACAAAGTGTCAACTAAATACCGTGAATTCCACGTGTCTCGCCAAGTTGTCGTTTCATTATTCTTCCACATAACTGTCTTTAAAGAAATCATAGATTTATACGCACGACACTTATTCGGGCTGTAACAGTGCTAGTGAGACTGTGCACATAAATACACGTACGATATATACATAAAATTTATTATATTTCTAGAGATATGAGATAATATATCTGTGCATACTAAATATTCTTACTGTACACATGCGTACACATATCAGTGTATGCGTGTGTATGTCGTTTTCGCAATGTAAAACGTTGTGAAACGTTGTTACGACAAATATGTCGAGTATTATTATTATTATTATTATTATTCTTCTTTTTTTTATTATTATTATTATCATTTTTATTATCATTCTTTTTAAAACTAGGAAGTTGAACATGATTTACATTGAAATAGTTTTTGCTACCACGAATGCTATTACACTCAACTGTAACAAGTGTGTGGCACGAAAATTCTTCGCTGAACCTATACTCGTTAATTTAAATTATCGGTATAATTTTGTATCATTATTGATTACTCGAAAAGTCGGTCAATTTTTTGAATGCTTTCATCGTCAATCATTTTATCATTTCATTATGCATTTAAACTTACTTTTTCGAGAGGAAAAGAAGTAATGATTAATAGATTTGTTAATGAATGCGAGATGTATGTTTTGCATTGTGTGTTTTTATGACTCAATTTTATAAATTAGGTTCAGCGGTGAAAAATAATACGTGAAACAATACTTGAAGTCGCATGTTTTTTATAAATAAATCGCTGTCACTGAGACCCGGGTACATGACAGCTATACAGATAACAAAAAAATTTGTTTTTATATTAACCCACAGCAAAGGCCTGTGCAGCGAGCAATGGAAATCTTCCAAGATAGCAAAGAATTTAGGATAGAGACTAAAAGTTAATGGATAGCGTTAAGGAAACGTGTAAATGTGAGACGTGTAAGACGCTATGTTTTAATGACAATGAATGAAATGATGGTCTTGTAAACAACAATAAGAATGCAACTAGATAGGGACAATATTACTGCCAAACTCGATTATGAATTAGTTTATTTCTAAAGAGGTGAATCGTTTGGAGGATCTTGTCTATAGGTATGTTTATTGTTAGTATTTTTATATCTCGATAATGTAAATATAATACAATTAAATAATTTTTTCTTTACTAGTGTATGTATAATGTATGCGACAACGTGAAACGACTGTACGGAGCCAATGGAATGACTCGACGTTAGTACATGTATGTATTTCTGTAGAAATCGTATTTTTTTTTTTTAATTTTGAATTATCATGAACATTTCTACCCGTCCTTATTGTCTTTTAAATTGCTATGAAGCGATTTTTAAATTATAAGTATAAGGTGAAATTAAATGTATGTATAATTGTGATGGTATGAACGGACGGAAAGTGAATATAAGTTTATTAAAAAGAAGGTATCTAATTGATTTATAAATATTTATATTATAAAAAAATGAAGAACTTTTTTAATTATTTACTTTTTACTTTACCCGTAACTTAAAACCCAATTTAATTGATTTATAAATATTTATATTACAGATAATTAAGAACTTTCGTTACTTTTCACGTTTGATTGTTATTTATTTTTCATGTTTCATGTTTCACATTGTTATTTGAAAACGTCTATTTAATTGTTAAACTTTATATTCACTTTCCCATAGCGTTAATCTTTTAGAATACCCTATGGTGGATATTAGTACCGAGATAGAGTCCGATATACTATTCTTCCATTGGCTTTCACGTAGCCGCTGATCTGTACCGATCGCAATTCTAATATCTATTTCATAACTTGTGAAAAAAAAATTTATACCGTTGTTCGCGACAAATGTCCAGTTCTATAAACGACGGATATTTCAGAAAGCGATTTTATAAAAAACTCCGCGAAAGATAACGTAGAATAATAAAGCGATCGGTGCTCATCGAATATTAGAATCGGTCGTTTATAAAACTGGACAGAAACTAACTTTTGTACAGCATACTTCGAACGCATATATGTCCCCTCTTTCTTCTACTTTCTTTCTCGTTTCCCGTCGTGTATTTCTCTCTTTCTCTCTTTCTCTCGCTCATTTCTTTTACTATTTTTTATTACCCTACTCTATCTCTCAATATGCGTCAAGCAATCGACCGGTTTTGAACAGTACTTTCGTCTTTCATAATTGCATCGTGCTGATAGAATGGTACTCAGTGGTCTTTTTTGGGAGGAAGGGGAAGGGGAAGGGGGGAAGGTATCACGCAAATCACGGTGCGATATTCATAACTGTACATAATAGCGTGTAAGTAAAGTATTAGAAATAATATGCTCGATGTTCTGTTCGGTCGTAACTAATGTACTTACGGGAGAAGGTGGGTTAAAGAGATGGGAGGGAGGAGATAACAATGATAGAGATTACGAGGTCCCTTGAACCGATCGTTAGTGTCATATGTATCACGAAGCGACTAGTTATGCAAAATGAATTAGTTGATTAGTTGTTTAATAAGTAAATAACATGTAGATCATTACAAAATTATTATAGCACAGGAAAGAGAAGAAAGAGAAGAAAGATGACTATCGTTTATTTCAGATTAAAAATGATGAAATTACTGTTTTATTTAGCGCATTAAGATATGCTTGATAATATCAAGCGAAACCATGTTATTTCTTATGAGGTCGTATAGAATGCGTAGCCTGAAACCACACTGCTGGGCACCCAACTAGGGTTGTTTTAGAGTTTTATACTCCTATCGCACTTGACCTGAGCGTACTGCATTACAAAATACTTTATCAATCCTTGCAACGTTTAGACAATGTACAATAATAGTATAAATTTTATCTGTAAATTTATATCATTTGGTGCAGCTTATTTTACCAGAAAATCTTGCGATATCGTGTGTCATTTATCGAATAAATTATTTCTCAGCGGAAATATCGTCATCCGTCTGTTCAAGCAATCAGTTATCACACGTTCATTAAAATTATTAAGATTGTAGAATTTGTATTTAAATAATGCAGCCGCTCATTGTCACACTATACTATAATGTCGAAATTATGTACGTACTCATAATCTTGTTTTGTTTATTCCTTCTTTTTTTTATTCGTTCTTTTTTAAACATCTTTCTCTTTTGTTAGTACCAAACATTGCAAATTGGTATTTGTAATTAATACTACTGGAGTAACAATGTTAATAAAATCCTATAGAAATGACAGTAGAATTCATCATGTCTTTTATCCATTAATATAACATACGATCCAGTCGTATCCTTTGTCACCAATTTTCCAGAGGTACGTTAGGTTCCTTGAATATTTAGTGAGAAATTTTTCGCTTTTGATACGCAATAAAGGTAATACAAACTATCAAAGAGTAAAAATCTTTTTCTTTTTTAACTCGCGATGATTTTAATTCTTAACGTATTGATAAAAGCATACTGACGGCACCTGTAGCTGGAAATTATTTCGCTTTTAGTACGACGCTTTTAGTCGAGTTCTTTTCGTTGGGTTGGAAGAGCAGATTGTCCCCCAGCTTGGTTTTAAATTTCATAGAGGGTAGAACGCTTGCTGTTGCAATTAATTAAAGCTGGTGTTAGTTGGTAGGTCACCATATAAGATAGTATTCTCGAATCTCAGTTATACTCTCGAATAACGATAATACGATGCAACGTCTGCATTGATCGTCGGCATTTTGTCCCGAAGGTCAATGCGTTTCTATGACGAGGGAGAAGGAAATGCCCGAGAACCACGAGCTGGTTCGCTGGACTCGGCTTGGAGCACCTTCGCAGCTCACCTGCGCTGAAACCTGATGCTGACGATAAAAATGAGAACAGGTTACGCGGCTTGTGCTCCAATGGCTGCGCTATACTCTCCAACCAACCTACAAAACTACTCCAAAGAAGAGAGTTTTCTGCTACTGTTGCGTCTCTCGCGGATTAAAATCTATCCTCGATTGTTGTCGGTGACGATTCCTTCTCCGAGATTCATGTCGGATGCAACTCACGTGAAATTACGACGTAGGCGAAGGATCATTTGTCGTACAATTTTCCTTTAATTCCGACCACTGAATTTAATATACTAGAAGTGAATTCTCATAAAATATATATTTCGTTTTTGGAAGTTGCAAAAATAGAATCTAAAATGTTCTTTCTATTAAGCTTATTTATATTTCTGTTGTTAAATTCATTATTTATTGTGTCACGAGTAAAGATTATTGGGAATAAAACTTTCTTACGCTTGCTTCGAATAAAATTTCAATTTTCTTCTTTCGTAACGCGATCGATTTATATCACACCATTGTTTAACATCTAAAAGTTATTAGAAAGATTGTGGAACTATCTTAATGAATATGGAACGTTAGTATTTTTTTGCATAGCGATAAATTGCTTTATTAGCAACTTGAATATTTTGCCACGCCCTCGGCGTGCAGCGTCACGCAGTCTGCTGTACAATTGTACTTACTCCATATCACACGCCGCCGTAGTGTCCATTAGAGCGTCTACGCGCCGCATACATGCACGTAGGCGTCCAATTCACTGCCGTATAATTTCACGAAAAAGAGAACGTATCTAGATTAAAAGCATCAAAATTTCACATCTCGTATCGCGGAGAATCTCCTTCTCTGTCTAAACGATTCTACAAACTTTGCTTACGGTAATTATAGCTGTGCAACATTGAAAGCACACATTGATAAGTATACGTATTACTGCTCGTGTACATGCGAATGTCTCTACGACTACAATCAGAAAAAACGATTATCCTCTTAAAAACAAATAAGTAACGCATAAAGTTTGTCACGCAGTTAATTGTTTTCAAATGAATCGATCGTTACCGCGCTACATTTCGCGCGTTGTTAGTGTTCATGAAAACCAACGGCAAAAAAAAATTCGCAGTTCGTGAACGTGTGCATATTCGTGCATTCGTGACAAGTGTCTGGAGGGTCTTTGACATGTACAGATTATTGCGTGCAGCGTAGGTATCGAAGAATTGTTGAAGGCCGAAGAAGGGACCAAAGAATGGACGGAAAGGACGACAGTCAGCACCATCAGCAGCAGCAGCAGCAGCAGCATTAATAGAGGAGTGGGGAGTATGGTTGACTGGTAGAGAGAAATGGTGGGGGCCGTGGGAGAAGAAGTGGGGTACAGCGGGAAATACAGTCGGCAGTGGCGGCAGTTGCGTCTCGAGCAGCGCGCGTGGTGTTTCGTTCCGTCCTATGCGTGTTACCCTCTCGCGATAGCTACCGAAGCTTTTACGTGAGCCGACCGAAATTCGTTTTTTTCTTTTCGTTTTGTGACGCGACTTGCGGCATCGTAAGCTGCAATTACGTGGGACGTCCTATCGAACGGGACAGTGAAACTTCGGTGGTGGTTTTTTTTCAGTGTTATTTTTCTGTGTTTAACATTCGTTTTGTAACGGAAAAACCAGTTCCCCCCCCCCCCCCCCCCTCTCCCGCGAAGGTTTTACCACGAAGATTCTTTTGCTAAAAAAAACACCCAAATTGGAATTCTTTTTCGTGAGATTCATCGGCGCCGAGGGCTGTTGACACTGGCAGAATACGCTTCGCACCGATCCAGACAATATCTCTGGTGAGTTTTGATTATTCACTTTCAAAAATTGTACCGTTAGCTCCTATTGGTTGATAGAAGCTCCTACCGGTGATAGAAGACCCTACCGCCGTCTTAGGGTCTTCTATCACTTTGCGAAGTTTACGAACGCCTGCAATCACTCAGCCGGTATGGTAGAAAAAGTGTCGTGAATACGAACCGTTGTCCGGTGTAATTAAGAATGCCGGTAGCGTGCAAGAGTCGCATGGCGTTTGGCACGAAGTGCAGTAACAGTTAGTTTATTCTCATTCGTACAACTGCTCTATCCTTTATCATAAATAGTAAATACACGTGTGCACGGACGAGACGCCAGCGTTTGGTCACGATGTGTCGATTCTAGCGTGAGGTACAAAAGTACTTAGTTTCTTTTCAATTTCTTTTCTACCATTTTGTACATCGTCTTATGTCGAAAGGTCTATTCAACTAGAAATAACGAGTAACTTGTCTAAACTTGTCTTAACTAATCCGTATGTTTTGGAGTGTATTCCTCGCTAAAGTTGACAAAGTAATACAAACAACATATCGTCAAAAATCTCCATTCTCGTTTTTTTCGTTCTATTATCGTTTCTTGGAATTTGCGCCCGGTATTATCAAGAGTGTAAACAAATGCTTAACGCGCCTTTGGAACTGAATCGAACACTTGGATTTGTTTGTGTACAGCTCCGAAACATTCACAGATACACGAAATCCTTCGTTTCGTCACGTCAATGAACCTTAATACGTACATTCTTTCGCCTCGTACTTTATTACGCGTTACTGTAATGGAGCGACGTTTTCGGAGTTCGTAAACGCACGCGTGCCATCATCGGCATTAAGGCACGTTTCCACCGTGACACCGGTTGACGGAGAAAAGTGTAAAAATACAGCGTACAGCTCGAAAGTACGCGTCTAGCTATGCGACGGAAGTTTAGAAAGTCGTAGCGAGTTGTACATACGTGTTGACCGGCTACCCAGCCATTCTGTACGCTCAGAACCGGTTTCAAGCTTTTCGCCCGAGGGGCCCCACGATTCGAGCGTAACGACGCGTAGTGGCCGACCACGATAAGCTCTTGTGGTCACGCTGGGCCCGTACCCAGACTACAGGAAAATATCCCAAATTGTCGATCGTGTCGCCCATTCGTTTCTGTCCACTGTTTCTATGATCATTATGACCACGCGGGGAGATTTTCATGGAAAAGCGTTCGCGATTAAAAATAACAAGGTTGACGAATGATTTACATGATAGACACGATATAAATCAGTTTAAAATGTTTGAGATATTTTTATCGGTATAACAATCTGATTATTATCCGGGAATTGTAACAATAATGCGGCGGAGGGTTTAAAATATTTTCGACAGTGGTTGATTTGCAGATGGTTGAAGGTATGCACGGCGATAGTGTCTGCGAGTGACATCTATGATTTACAGGCCTGCGCAGTACGCAAACATAAGTTACATTTAAATATAAATAAACGTCACGTAATGAGATTCGTGATAAGATTTGTGACAGTGTTTCCACATTTCTCGCGCATTGAAACTTTGCATTGGACATATCCCGCGACTGTTCGGATATCCCTGTATTAAACAATTTTGAAAATATCGTCAATGTTATAATTCTCACGTTTGCAACGTTTTTTACTTTTTCATTTGTTCAGAAACATTCTCGATATCAACTCTATATTTTTCGAGAGTATCAATTATATTCTAGTTTGAATGTTTCCACACTTTTATGCTACGCTATTTCTACTCCTTTTTTTTATTCTCGTCGATAAGGGGTTTACTAATAAATCCCTTGATTTTCATTCGACATCTTTCGTTGCTCGATGAAAGTTCAGTGGCTGGAAACCTGCATAATTGCCTGTAGCAAATGTAAATCGATCACTACTATGACCGTCTACTACTTGAACAGTGCCTATTGTTCATAATAAGTGAATTATTTTCTTTTGTAATGATTCGAATGATCCGAAGGTCGGTGCGCTCTTCTTGCTTGAATTGCTTATTGAGATTTAACAAGGTCCGTTTAACATGCGCGATGAATGTTTTTAACTTTGACAATGTAACAACATTCTTTCTTAATTGAAGTGAGAATCTATATTTTTCTTTCGATGAAACTTTCTTTTCGCTCTTATAGAATACAAATGTTCTTTTTCTTTTACTAGAAATTAAGTATAAATTTTGAATATCTATAGTCTAAAAACAGTCGCGTGAAATTACGATTTTAATTATCTGCAAAATTTTTGTTAGATGACTTTAGAAGATTGTTATTTCAAGTAAAATAGTAAGTCGGTAATTATACACGAAAATCTCATCTTTGGATATTATGTTATTAACAATTAAACTTATAAAATTATTATTAGACAGCAGATTTTTATGCAAACTCATATGAGAATATAATTTAAAAAACATGTTCTTTTATATCGATTAAATATTATAAAAAACATTTGGATATTTTGTACAGTATGACTCTTATTAATCTATATTTCTAGTAATTTATGTTTTTAATGTATTAAAAAGCAATTCAATAAGATTATTACGAACAAATATGCAGGCTGTGGTGTCCGAATATTAATAACAGTTACTGTATATAAAAATCTGTAGTTACTGTTTTATACCGGTTGTATAAAATAAATAAGATATTACACATTTACATAAATTAGTAATCGAAATAAAGCTTTGCATACGCGATTCATTTTTCGTTTAAACAGCCAGAGCGATTTAAAATGTACGATTATTCATTAGCATATTTTATGAACGTTCAAGAGATATGCGTACATTACAAATAATGTTTCATTGTTTTGCCCATTTCCAGCAAGTATGTTTTATCAGCAAACGAATTCTCATTTCCATTTAGTCGCGTTCGCTGCTTTTTGGCTTCGTAAGAAAGAACGTGAAAGATGTAAATGTGTTACATCGGAAGGTGTAAACACGAGACGCGCATCGGGATGAGTAAAGTGTGTCATGTTTGTTAAAGAAATATGTACAGTAACCTTTTGCGTGATCCATGAACTTTCATCAAACATTTACGGACCTCCTTCGACGGGAGAAAGTCAGGAAAAAAGAGACGTATTTATGGAAATATATACATTTCTTCGGGTCCCGCAGCGAAAGGAGAAAGTAATGATATATTGTCTAAGACGCGACTTATAGATGTGTGTATATAAATCTACTCTAGCTTGAAATATGGAGTTCCACATCGTTTTCCACGTTGAATATTTTTCCATGCGAGCTGCTCCTTCGTGAATTATGTCAATTATAAATTGCTCACGATCCACGTTACATCTGGGCGCGATATTAATATTTATAAGGTAGGAAATTTGTTAACACAGCAACAGGTTATAGTTAGGAAAGCTTGTAACCAGTCATTGGACTGCTTTATTTACATAAATAATAAACACGTTAAAGAACGGCAGCGAACGTTATCAGGACGTGATTTGTCCCCGCGATTTTCTTAATCGACGTGTTTCGATTCAGCTCGGAATGTTTCGCTGATTTCTAACCGAGCCTTGGAGAGGAAAGGATCGAGCTTTGTTTATTTAGACGGTATCTCGCTCGATCTAAATTCACGTGCAAGTTTTTCAACCGGTGTCCATGCATAATGTATGCCAGCGATTATTCAGGATATACCGGCGAGCTCGACAATCTTAATCGCGAAGAGCAAAGTTGGCATTATTCCATTCTGGTCATTTGTCACGAGCGTGAGTTGATACCGGCAGTGCGAATAGACGATTCATGTAAATCCGCGAACCGAGCGGTTTTCATATTATTCTAATTGGCAAACTTTGACTTCTACTTGGAATTTATGAACACCCTTCTTGCCGCGGTGCACACGTATAAATCCTGTCGCGCGGCGATGATTTATCGCGCGGTGTCTTCTTATGCTTGCATTTATTAAACTCGTTCGGTTGAAATACGGAAGTTAACGGGGGGATCTCGTCTCTCGTTGATTACCAGTTTTCCGAATATCACGGAAACCCGCTGATTTATCCACGATTAAGTTTAACCGCGCAGCGCGTGCTATATCTGCAGGAATTAACCCTTTTGACCTTAGCTGGGGCATGTAATACGTTCCAATCGATATCTCTGTCTCCTCCGTGTGGGACGATACGAATCTCGTAGCTGCGTTGTTTTACGTTGTTTTAGTTTGCCCGATTGCACACGGTGCAGTTTGCTTCAAGTGAAATTAGGAAGAGATGGAGAAATGGAGAAAGAGATTAAATCAGGGAAATTAGGAAGAATCGTTCACTGAGATATGGTTGCGCGTGGTAAAAGTGTTGGCGCACAATTGTATTTAATCAATCAGGCTCAATCGATGTTATGATTAAAAGAATAATAATCAGATTAACACATAAATCAAAAATATCGGTAATCCACGATTCCTGTCAATAACTTAACATGTATCGCATGTATAAGAATATAATTTTAATTGTAACCAAAAATTGAGATATTTCGAATTTTATTTCGAAAATTTGTGTTTCTTCCCTATTGTCTGATATTTCAACTAGGTGTCGGATGAATTATTGTACTATCATTTTACAAGCACTGTTAGAATAAAAATATTTCGTATCTTTGGAAAGAACAATTTTGGATCAAATATTTATGAAAAGGGATACAAATTAATCACTGTTAGTAAAAGAACCGAGACATTTTAATAACATAGAATTCAGCGTTTTTATTACGAATTTTACAAAATTACACTTTCATGCAATTACAAAAATACGATACTATGGGAAATTATGTGTTGAATGAACGAATGAAAACCTGATAAAAAAAGTGCTTTATCGCGAGGTGTAAGAGTGTACGTGCCAATACCTTTCGCGGCCACCGTAAATTTCCGATTCCAAGCTATAAATTTCAGCAAGAAAGGAAACGAAAGATCGACTAGAGAAAAGTCAGGTCGGAAGGGTTAATTCGTCGGATTATACGGAACGGAATGGGACGCGGCGCGACGGGTTCGGCGGCGACGATGTCGCCGCTTATTCAGCTTTCAAAGGCAGACGACGTT